TAATAAGTATATAGTACTACAATAATATATATATATATATATATATATATATATATATATATGAAATTTTATGTTACACGAAGTTAAAAAACTTTGCAAAAGCCCTAAGTATTTAATTGTAATGTCGATCGTATCGTTACAAAAACATGTTCTCTTTTTCGATATATTGTCCATATCAAGCGTACTGATACACTTTTTCTTGTCGTATGTTGGTTTCAGGAAGTCTGACATCTACAATCAGTTCCGGCGCAGGGTTGACAAATTTAAGAGATGGGACAACCTACTGGAAAACTGTGAGTTTGATTTATTGATTGTGATTTGCTGTTGCACCTATTAATGGTCACACTTTAATGTATTCCTGCGCATTCGTACATGAAACAGCCACTTCTCCATGGTTCAAGGCCGTGACTTGAAAAATGATGCATATAGTCGAAGCCTAGTGCGTTAGATGTGAAGGTATTCGCTCGCTTTCCCTTGCTATGTATGCGACACATAAGGGGGTAAAAAGAATGGGTATCCTATTTATTGAAAATAGAATCAGATTTAGTAAATGTTGTCCTGACTATGTCTGAATGTTTAAGGTACAGTTGTATGTTAGGTCCCCTGATATATCAGATAAAGGCGTTTCATATCCCGGATCCACAGCACACACGCACGGGGGCGCCTATGCAATCCCACCGGGCAACAGGATTCGCACTTTACAGATTCGGGCGTGGGCTTCAGATACTACACTTTTGAATCGATCTAGTTGGTTCACGACCGCTGGCACGGCAAACACTGTTTTAATAGGGGCAGCATAAGGTCCTGTCGATTTAGTTTCAGGGTTCAAGGGGTAAAGCCTAAAACGGGTGTACATCATCAAGTGGTTGGTATAGCACCATAGCGCCCTGATCTCCGTACCACACCTTTTTATACCGCCAGATACGAGGTTACAGACTCAGCATGAGTTACTGGCAACCAAGGCCGAGGCAGACGCTGCCAGCCTGCAGAAAGAACGTGAGGAAAACAGGCGCCTGCAGCGAGAAATGGCACATATGAAGGAGGAGGGGTATGTACACGCACAGCTGTACCTGTAGTTAGTTGCGGGTCGGCTAGGTTGTGTGTAGATGCGGGTGTAGCATTCTGCATTCATGCTTTCGGTTGATAACAGTTGGTAAGGCTGCCTGTCAAACACGGGGTGAACTGAGTCAAAACCTCGCTGCTCAGACACATGTTTACGTTAGAGTGTGGTTGTAGCCATGCGTATGCAAGCAGCTCGGAGCCATAGTGAGATTGTTACGGGTGCGAGTGTTTGTATCTGTCAAAGAAGCACCTGGCATTTGTACTCACTCGTATGTTACCAGCGTTTGCTACTCACTCGCGTGTTGCACATGTCAGTCGGCTCATCCGTTCACTCATGCGGACGCTGACAAACACGAGGGCTTTACCCGGGTCCAATCTGAGACAATCTAAACCTCAGCGACAACTGAACCTTGCCCGTCTCAGCGTGAATGCGGGGTGTCTGGGTGTGTTCAGTGCCGTAGTCCCCTATGCTCATGCGTGCATCCCCCTCTCCTCCCAGCATGGCCTTGGGGTCGCAGGAGATCAAACAGCAGCTGAAGGAGCTCAAGGCACGACTGGAGGCCACGCGGCACGAGTTGACGGAGAGCTACAAGAGCAAGGGCAGCCATGCGCAGAAGCTGCTGGACCTCAACGAACTGCTGCAGCGCCGAGATGAGGACATCAAGACGCGCAACGAAGAGTACGTCTGTGTGTGTGTGTGTGTGTGTGTGTGTGTGTGTGTTGTGTGGATGTGTGGATGTGTGGATGTGTGTGGAATAAACTGTCACGGCAGGAAAAAACCGGGTTTGTGGTATGCAATGTCAATAGAGATTGGGGCGGAATTGCATACACGGAGAGTGCCGGATCTCAACGAACTCCTGTAGCAAAGGGATACTGGGATCAATAGACCCATCTGGATGTGCCTTGTACTCTCCTATTTCTATAGCCTGCTTCACACTATCATTGCGTACGAAAGGTTTTAGTTCGCTATACTCACAAGTGTTTAATTTTCTTTGCTAAGAAGTGGCTGTTTTCCTTTGCGGGAGGCTTGTGTAGAGATTTGCCAAGCGTATATAGTTTTATACACGAACTGCAAATACAACATCTCTGCTGGCTCTAAAGTCGTTCGTGAAACCCTAAACCCTAAACCGCCTGTCTATACCTGTGTATGCGTGACCTCGGTATACTGAGAACTCGTAAGTTTCTGGTGCCGAACATTGTACTCGCGTCACCCGCTACTGTGCCAAGCCGTTCAGTATCTGTCATTGCGAAGATGCGCTGAGACGTACGCCACTCACACCACAACTTGCCACATCTTAACTCTGACGCACCTGTTGATCCTCGTTACCCACCCACAAATCCATACACTACCTGCCCACAGTATCAAGGCATACACCCAGGAAATCCTGATCATGAAGCGGACTATTGAGGACCAAACCAACAGCCTAGTAGACAAGAACACGGCCTTGCAGGTGCTGCAGGACGAACTACAAGCGCTGCAGCTGGAACTGGTCACGTCGACGGAGAGGTCGGATCGGCTACAGAAGGAGAACGACGCGTTGATTGAACGGTGGCTCAAGAAGAAGAGTAGCGAGATAGCCCTGATGAACGAGGCCAACAGCGCGGTCGAGAGGTGTGGGCAGGGGACTGGGTGTATGCGCTCGTGCAGAGTAGGGACTGTACACGTGTGGATATGTACGCACTCGCACGTAGTTGAAGCTTGTCTCGTCTGTCTTGGCACGCCTATGTACCGAAGTATGTTGCTAAACTGAACGTATATAATGCATGCCATCTCTGGCGGGGTACCATGCTAACCTACATAACCCCCCCCCCTCATCCCCCTCTCACACTCACACACACACAGCTATCGGAAGGAGGAGCGGGTGCGGCGTCTGAGTCAGATGTCAGAGGAGAAGAAGGCGGGCCGCGGGTCTCAGCAACCGGGCTATCCGTCCGACGAGTCCTGGGCGTATGTGGATGAACTAGGGCCTCCCACATCGGCTATGAGGACTGTCACGTGTACGGGAGAGGTCAACTCTATTGCATTCAGCACATCCGGTACTATGTTTGCCACTGGAGACTACAGGTGAGGATCTGGGGGTTGTCTATGTTGTGTGCTATGTCCTGCGTGTGCATGGTGGGGGGGGGGTGTACCAGCCGGACCGGACTATGCAGTGTTCGGACAGGCTGTAGTATTAAAGCCAGTCTCGTCTGTGTGTCTCATTCACCATCACTTAGTGCAGTTCTAACCGTTGCATTCTTTTGCCTAGATCACAAGAGAGCCCAGCCCCTCAGTGCATGCGCTTGTGAATGTACTTACCCTTGTCGTTTGTTTCCTGCACTATTTATCAGTAGGCTCACTCTATGGGACACCTACTCCGGCCAGAAGAAGATGGAACTGCCCGGGGCTACGCAGAGTGTCATGGCGGTCTCATTCAGTTACAAGGACGACATGGTCTTAGCTGCATCGAACGACAATGCCACCAGGATATACGATATACGCACTCAGCGGTTAAAGGTGAGTGTGGTGCTGTCGTGCACACGTGTGTGAGTTGTGGGGTGCGTTGCCCCACTTCGATGCGAAGGGTGCGGGTGAGAAGGACAGGGGCTCTGTGCAAATGTGTTGGTGCTGCTATGGCCTGTGCGCCGGCTGTATGCGCTTACAGTTGATTGTGTACGCTGGTGCAAAGGATGTGCCTAGTCAACACCCTGTGTCGTATCTGATGCGTGTATTTGTCTTCGCCATACGACGATGTCTTGTGCAGTACTTGCTGCGTGGTTCGGCTTACACTTGCGACGATAGTACACACTGGAGGTCCAGGTATAGGCAGGTCGTGCTTCTGTCCATTCTATTCGCCTTTATTACATTACTTTTTGCCCACATGCTGATGTTCGATGAGTCTTTGGGGGTGGTCTTGTGCCACATCGAAGCAATTGGACTTTCTTTCACCTGTCAAATAGCACTGGAGAATTGGCAACGCTCGCTTTCGAGTTAATGTCGCGGGCGAAAGTGGTGTTGTACGCGTGGCATCTTTGTACTCGTTGTACCTGTTCCTCTCTCTAGGCTTCATGTGCGCGTAGATCAATCAGCTCTCATACGCGCAGTCTGTTTACCACCACTCGCCTCTCCACTGCACACGTGTTCGAGATCGTTCCTTATTCGAGTCGTGTGTATATATGTGGACCCACCACTGACAGCAATTGCGCAAGACCGGAGTCTGATGGTTGTGTAGCGTGTATACTGATTTTCGTCATGAGTGGTAGGGTTAGTTTCTGCTGTGAACTGCGTTCACAACCCAATCTGACTTATATCATGTACAGTTTAAGTTTGTTTATATGGTATAAATAGACGGTATATTGCATATATGCATGCTTGCGCACACGTGTGGAGCACAGTCTAGTGTAGCCCTCAACTACCACCACGGCACTAACTTTATCATCGCTTCTGTTAAAAACGCATGCGGTGCTATTTGGTCTGTTTGTTGAGAGTTTAAATGTATATTCGACCGACTTGTACGTACTTATCATCATTATACGCTTCTTGTAATGTGTACTTAACTGAAATTATGGCACCTTGTATTTAACTATTTCAGCACACCCTGACGGGCCACATCTCGAAAGTGTACAGCGCCAAATTCAATGGAGACGCAACGAGGGTGGTGAGTCACAATGTAGTCAACTACGTTCCGCCGCACTACTGCATACGATATATA